AAAATAAATCATAAGTGATAAGTCCATCTCGTTCGATTCGAAGGGGATGTTTGAATGTCTCAGAATGTGTGTGTGGATATTTGCACGTGTCTAAAAACGTCCAAACACGTTCGTTGGCGTCATCATTTTCCATTTTCGGACGTTTCGCTGCACACACAAGGCTCGTCGTGTCCGATCCATGAAATATGCAGATATCGCCTTCAGGGAAGCGGGGGCGGCTGCCTCAGGTATTCCAGCCGACTGTGTTTCCTCCGAGGCGATATTATGTCGCCTCGTCTTCCCGGCGAAACGCTTCTTTTGATACACGTCATTCACGTTTGCTTTTCATGTTTGCTTTTCCGGCATCGTTTCCTCGGACTTTAAACTCCCCACGGAGATTTTGTCACGGTTAAAACCCTCGGACAAACATATAATATCCTTGTATAAATAATTAATCTCTTTTTCGTTGTTGTTGTTGTTGTTGTTGTGTTGATTAAATATAACAGTTTACTGTTGCAAAATCTATGAATCTGCGTTCGCGTGCCCAACTATCATTACTTTGCCGGTGCAGCATCCGCTGCTGGAGGTAATAACGCTGAAAAGCCACCCGGTGGCTTTGTGTTACGCTTACATAACTCACAATCACTGTAGACATTAATTTTGCACAAGTGCGCGTTGAATTCACGTGCAATTTCTTTGTATGAAAGAAAAAAAATATGTTGGATAGGCACGTAAAGTGGAAAAATCATCGGGAGAGGATGAAAGAGGAGATAATTCGACAGGATTTCGGTGGTCGGACCGGAAATCATATTTAGCAAAGCAAAAAGCGCTTCGGCTACGATTGTTTCAAGCGGCGTTGCGCTTTGTACGCTGCGAAATGCTATTCTCTAGAGAAATACAATCAGCCAGTGGTCAATCTGCAACTTTGGATGTGCTTCGGCCATCAGACACATTCACCCTCTTTATGGCTAAAGCAAAACTCATTTTGGACCCATGTTAAAATACGCACATACACAGGGATGAGTTTTGTTAATTTTTGTGTGTTTCACTTCACATGGGAAGGTGAACATAGGGAAAATTTTGTTTAGTAATGCAGGGGTATAAATAAACAGTGATTGAATCGCAATATTAACTTTAAGCTCTAATTTTATGCCCTAAATGTTTAATTATTGCTATAAAAAGTAGTCTATGTCTTTTTTTATTAAATAAACTATAATATTACTAAGTTTTATCAAAATCGGTTCAGTAGTTTTTGTGTTAATGAGCAACAAACAAACAAAAACATCAAAAATCACTTTTTTTACATTATTTTCTCATCCTGTGGCATTTCTACATAATATAAACTAAAATATCAAAATATAACTAATTATAAACAATTTAGCAACATTCTAGTTTCATCTACTTACATATTCACCTTTATGGCTAAAGCAAAACTCATTTTGGACCCATGTTAAAAGTCGCACACATACAGGGATGAGTTTTGTTAATTTTTGTGTGTTTCACTTCACATGGGAAGGTGAACATAGCGAAAATTTTGTTTAGTAATGCAGGGGCATAAATAAACAGTGATTGAATAGCAATATTAACTTTTAGGCTTAATTTTATGTCTTTAAAAGTTGTTTTTTGCAGTAAAGAGTAGTCTATGACTTATTTTATTAAATAAACTATAATATTACAAAATTTCATCAAAATCGTTTGAGTAGTTTTTGTGTTAAAAAGCAACAAACTAACAAAAACATCGAAAATCACATTTTTTACATTAATTTTTTATCCTGCTGCATTTCTGCATACACTTAAACAAAATATAACTAAATACAAACAATTTAGCAACATTATAGCTCTACCTACTTAGATATTCACCTAAAATATTCCAACATAGAGTTTTCAATACGATCCCATCCGGTTTTACAGTCGCGCGTTACGATCGACATGTCAATACGAATCGATTATTTATCACGCACAAATATTACGAGCTGTAAATGTAACCGGCAATTCTGCGGTTAATGATGGTCGTTAATGTACCTACCTTCTTCGTCCCGAATGCGCGCACTTTATACGGATGCGCTAAATGAGATTTGTAAATAAATTATTTTTATCTCCAATTCTACGCCATCAAAAAAGAAAACATTTCGCCGGGTAACGATTACGATAACCGTCGCGGGAATAGCTTTCGATATCGGCACCGCCATTGGTTTACTATCGGCCACATTTGCCATTAAGCATCGTTATTTTGGCATCGTAACCGCACTATGTAAATAATTCCGAAACATGTTAAACAACTACCTGCGCCACAAGAAGTAATTGCGTCGAATCGAACAATTTCCTCCAAAACGAAATTCTTATCAATTCGTGATAGACATATAATTTTACTGCTTGTTATAAATATTTAAAAAACAAATTTGTTGAAAAATAAAATTTTGTAAAAAAAAATTAATTTTTAGTTTTTTATTGAATATAGATGGCGTTAGTTGATTTTTCTTTCGTGTATTTTATGTTGACAATCAGTATGCGTAGGATATTTGCCTCTTTGGCCTGTTAGGAAGTTTCCCGCGCGCAGAATGAGGAATATAATGCAGAACTCAAGATGGAGTTTCTTAATCAAATCAGACTCTATTACAAATTGTTGCGAACAGCCGGAAACAGGGTGCGAATAGTAAATTCATTTAGGATTCCGGCGGAGTGTGAGGCGCGCGGCGCTGGTGCTCTTCTCACACCGCCATCACTGCCACACCGCCGCCGCCGCCGCCTCTCTGGAAAGTGCCGAGTGCCGAAAGCTCGGTGCGCGCGCGGAGACGGTTCACATAGTTTAGCGAAGACGACGGCCGGTGCGGCGTCCTTTCTTAGCACAAAAGCCCCGCCGGCGCGGAAACCTGAACCGGCATTCACTTAATGCCGAAAGCCCTTACCGAGCAATCACTTATATCCGTCGCCGAGTGCATATCGACCTGGATTCTAATTTATTCATTCGACTCCATTCATTATCCGCTTCCAAGCTGGTATTTAATCATTAATCAATTAAGAGAAGTTTTTTGCGTCTTTTATTGAGTATATATTGAGCAAACCTGTATTTTGGAAGGTTACTTGACTAAAAATAGTAGTATATTAACTTTGGGTCCTATTTTTAGACCGTTAAAGTTTTTTTCTTGCAATAAAAAGTAGTCTATGTCTTATATTATTAAATAAACTATAATATTACCAAGTTTTATCAAAATTGGTGGAATAGTTTTTGAGTTAAAGAGAAACAAACAAACAAAAACACTCAAATTACTATTTAAAATCGTTTTTTTCAAAATTTTGTATCCAAATATAACGAATTATCAAGTTTTTATCAAATATTTTACTCTACCCACTTAGATATTCAGTTAAAATATTCAAACATTGAATTTCCAATACTTTTTAACCACTATTATCGACTATGTATCGCAAAAACCCGTATTTTGTGCTTCCGATCACAAAATAAGCATCTTTTATGAATGACTTTCATCCGGCGATAAAGTGCGAAGGGCAAAAAGGTAGTGAGGTACCGCACGACAGCTCGCGTGCAATGCCTTCGTCCAGCGGGCCCTTTGGGGGTGTGCTGTTCAGCGCGCGGGCGGCGGCAACATAGTCGGCCCATCCAGCGCTCCTCCCCGGAGAGCTATAACACCACGACCGTTGAGTGATAATTATGGGTCACGTGACGCCGTAATTGTTATCATTACTCTGTGTATGCATGATAGCCGCCCGCCTGCCGCCGCCGCCACACAGCATATTTCGCACTCACAAAATATCCTCATTTATTGATAGAGCATTTCAATAAATTCGGCGCGCGCGAAAAGTGCGCCGAAATTAATTGCATCCCTTCAACACCCTTCAATATAATATTTACGTTCGAATTCAATTATGGGGATGTTTTTGTGTGTTTATTTGCACGCTGCGCGCATTGTTTGCGTTACATTTTATAACATTACATATATTATTCAGCAATGCACTGGAATATCCAAGCGTAATTGCTGAAAATAAACAAATTTCTACAAATTACATTTTGATATATTCTACGAGTATATATTGTTTTAGAATTTATCAACAATAAGCGTGTTTGGGTGTACATACATTGTAGACAAAGATTTTCGCATTTCCAAGGGGGGCGGCGACAGGAAATGTGACAGGACTCAGCTTTCTTGGGACGAGAGTGCTGAAACCTGAAACGTGAAACCCGCCGAGCGAATTCTGTCGTGATATTTGTTATCGCAGACAAAGACATAGGCAACGGAGAAAATTATACTTAAAGTAACATTTTATTAACAATTTTATTAAGATTATATTACATTTTATGAATAGATAATTAGGAATATTAAGTTACACCTTTAAAAAAACAAAAAAATCAATAATTTTAGTAAAAAAAAGCAATTTTTTGCGTTTTTTCGAATGTTTAGCTTTAAAAATCAAGATGTTTAATCATCGCGCTATATATTTCACCTTTTGGGCGGTTCGGGAGGCGGCTATTTTCATATTCAAGCTTTAAAAAACAAAAAAATCAATAATTTCACTAAAAAACGCGTTTTTTCTATTTTTTTGAAAATCTAATTTAAAAATCAAGATTTTCAATTATCATACTATATATTTTACCATGCGGACGGCTTTGGAGGCGGCTATTTCCATATTCAACTTCTAAAAACAAAAAAAATCAATAATTTCATAAAAAAACGCGTTTTTTGCATTTATTTCAAGAGTCCAGGTTTAAAAATCAAGACGTTCAATCAGCGCGCTATATGTTTTACCTTGCGGGCGGCTTGGGAGGCGGTTGCTTTCGTATGCAGGCGGCGTGTGGCGTTTGCGTCGTAAATAAAGATATGGCGGCGGCGCCGGGCTGCCTTTAAGTACACATTCTCTTTTCGTTTAGCCTGGATTCATTCGCGAGGATTAAAGCGCAACAAAAATAAATCCACATACAAACACACACATAAATACACAAAGAGAATTTGTTGATATGTATATTGCGTATATATCATCTCCTAAATGAAATTACAATTACGAATGAATCGTGTTTCTTTGGTCAATATATTACACTCATAATATTTGTACATTGTACATTTACAACTTTGATAATAGATATTCATATACAATATTCAATTGCGTGATTCGTAATCGATAAATCAAAATCATACATAGGCTTGGTATATTTACAAAATTGCACTATCAAGAGTTTGTTTTTTTTGTCTAAGATGTAATAAAACTGGAGTTGTTTTTATTTTTTGCTTTGGGTTTATAAATAGAGATAATAAAAACATTGCACATTGCACATTTAACACGTTTTAAGTTATTAAGAAATTACTTTACACTTTAACTACATGCTTAAGTTGACTTAGTGATTTAGATACACATGGCGACGAAAAGAAGAGAAAAACACATCTTGTGCTTGTATTTAATACAAACACAACGCGCACATAATCATCATTTTTGGAATCACAGAGAATTTTTTGTTTTTTTCTTGGTTTTACGAAATCGTCTTAACTCCAGGATTGAAAGTTGGGCCGAATTTGTAACTGCTGACTTGATTGGTTCATCAAACACGCCAAGCTCGCCGGCGGCGGCAGCTGTGGCGGCGGCGGGAAATGCAACAGCGATTGGGGCGTCCGCGAGTCCAAATTGCACACGTTCGGTATTTGCAATTGGGCGAGATTGCGCCTTATTTGTTCACCATTGTGTTGTTCCTGTTGATTGCCCTCGGATGCGCCGTCCGAAGTGACCGGAAGTGTGTTTGTGCTTCCGGTTAGCGTCTGGCACTATGTGACAATCGGCCGGAGTTCCGTATGTTGCGTTTCCTTATGCCGACGGAGATCCACCTTGCGTTGGAAGGCTCTTCCACACAAATCACACGCAAACGGTTTGAACCCGGTGTGTTTCCGGGAATGCGTGATCAAATTCGACGACTGACTGAACGCCTTTCCACACACGGAGCATTTATGTGGTTTTTCACCTGTGAAATAAACAAAAAAAAAAAAAGCGTTTTATTACACGGAAAAAATATTCAGCTCTCTGGAAGGGATGTAGCCGTGAGAGCGCGAGCGACGAAGGGGAAAAGGTTCCTATAGCAACGTAAGGTGCGGGGGCGGACCTCGGTTCAACTTACGGGACGAATCACGGTTTGCGGCAAAACTGATAGCAATCGATAATACTCTACGTCCTTATGCGATAAAGACGTGAGCACCGCGGCTCACACAACTCGCCGTGGCTGAGGAAAATCCAAAAAATATACAATATTTTTATTGTCTCCACATTTTCTTCGCTGGCTGCCGCTGAGGAAAAGTAAATCAATCGCGTTCGCTCCCCACAAGCGCGCACCAGCCTGTTGAGAGCTTGGAGAGTAAACCGACTATGTAAACTTTAATCCCACCGCCCGGTTAGCAAAGAAAATATTTAGCCAGAGGCCAATCTAAATTTGGCGGCGCAAGTGGATTGCCTGATTGGTTCGTATCGTCGTTAGGGCACTATACAGCTATACTGTGTAACCCTGCGCGCGAGAGCGGCGTCAAGTGTGTTTTGCTTGCGGGATTGTTCGGAAAAACAATTATGTGTGGATTTTTCATTCCAGCGATCGCAAACCAAAGCATTTTTATTTTTATTTTATTTTTTTGCGGTTAAAATAAACGCGATAAATCACGAAAACAATGTGTATGGCTATGTGAGGGTGTTGGAAACGGGAGAGAAATCAAAAATACATTAGGCACCACGCAGCGGCAATCATTTCTTTAAAAACGACTTATATGAGCAATATACTTTAATAATTGAATATTATGGCTGCCGGGGATAGGCTCTCAGTGAGATTGAGCGTCGGCATTATGGCCAGACTTGTGCCGTTTGCGCTCGGATCGTTTATAATTTCGGGGGCGCCAGAGTGCTGCCGCTGCTGTGCAGCCGTTCAAAAGATAATATAAAGCAGATGACTGCGGAACCATCTACGTAATGGCGGCAGATTTCGCGCCGTGGTTATGTTTTAATAGAATTTACGATTATTGCGCTGCTAACCCTCGCAAGGACAAGAAAGTGGCAATGCGTAAAGCTCCCTGGCAGATTTTCAAATGGTAACTACAATATACAAACAAATATTGCACTCAACTTGATGAATTTCAAAAAGTTTTGAAATTTTTTTTTGCAAAAAAGAAGAAATTTTTTAGTTTTTCGCAAAATCTTGGACAAATAATGTTTAAAAATCGTAAAAGAATAGTATTTTAATAAATGTCTTAAGTTTCTTTAAAGAAAACTTGTATATCTCTAAAAATATTAAATGTACAAAAGTATTTTGGGTTGCATAGCTAAAATCTTCAATATTTTTTGGAAAAACGAAGAATTTCATCAATTTTTGGCAAAATATTGCACCAAAAACGTTTAAATATAGTAAACAAACATTATTTCCATAAAATACTTAAGTTTGTGTCTAAAAAACTCAAATATCTCCAGAAATATTAACAAAAATCGCAATTATTTGAAAAATTGTTGAAATTTAAGGTTATGTACAGGTTGCTAGTCATTGTCCTTCCCGCAGGACAAATAAAATTTACGGCTGATTTGACATTTCGAACATCTAAGCGTCTCGCAGGCTTTTGTATCACGTGTGTGATTTGCTCGGACGGAGGACTCCGACCTTACATAAACCAAGATTGCAGTCGCGTACGTGCCGCCCGAGGAAAATACATAAACGTGAAAATCACGAGATACACCGACGTGCAGATAAAAATCCCCAACTCTTTTTATGCGCGCGCCGTACAACTAAGATTGTAACGGGCAGCAGGGAGCGATATTTATGCGATTGCTGTGTGTTGGTTTTCGGACGCGCGCGCGCCGCCGCCGAGTCTTTTAGACCCTTCCGTCCGACATTTGCAATCAGGACACGCGTTTCTTCTCTCTTCCACTTCTCTACTTCAAAAACTGACAAATAAACAACGTTTCGAACCACTTTTTCGTTTTTTACTCTTCTAGTTAATATAAAGACGCAAATAAAAATCTTTTCGTGATGGGTGTATGAAAAGTAAAAAACGCCAATTAAGTGAAATCAATTAATATCGTTTTATATGAGTCTGCTACGTGCGGCAGAGTCGAGAGAAAGATCGAGCAGGGATTCATGGGGCTGGAATTTCCGCTTTTCGTTTTATGACCGCCCCGGAAGCTGTGCACAGAGATTCTCGTCGAAATTCATAAAAGCGCTCGAGTGGACGCGTGGTCGTCCTAAATATCGCATCACAGACATTCCTCGCCTTATTCGACCGCCGCTGCGCATACTTCCAAGGATAGTTTCACTCTGGAATTTACTACTGCAACGAAAACGTTCGAAAAAACCTCGGCTAAGTGACGAATTAAAATTATTTTTATGATTTCTACAAAATTTCCGCAAGATTTTAAGCTGAAATATACTCTAATGGAGAGTGGGGATGGGTTGCGATATATTGGAACGCTGGAGGAATTTCAATTTGCGCCCGGACGCCCCCGACGAAGGAAAATCCGAGCCAAGAGCGCACACAGACTCGCGTCTAATGATGGTATTTGATTTATGGTCTTCCGGGCGCGTCGCAATCTTTATCACTCCGCTCTTGGCTCTATTTATGAAATTTAATATTATCACCCTTCACCCTGTTAATTAAAAATCGCTTTATCGAATCGCACGCGAAGGTTATTAATTCTGTGGTGGTGGTTTTTCTTTGCATTATTACTGGTAGTGGTTCTGGTACTGGTACTTAATGCACTAACCAATAAAAATAACAGGGATGTTCGAGTGTTTGGACAAAATGCGCGTGCTTTCGCGCACTTGTGCACTGTTGTCGGCGCACATGTGTGATTAAGTTATAATAATTTCCCGACGCTGCCTGACTCACTTTTCGCTCTTGATTGTTATGGTCTATTGGGAGTGATGGGAGTCATATACCCTTGCGCGCACGTACTGCGAGAGGGTGCTCTTTTTTTCGGCCTTTAGGTGTCAGATTTTGTTTTATACGGCGTCGGTGTATTCTCTAGCGGTTCGCCGCATAACATTTCGGGGCTTTTCTCACACTCGACTAAAAAAATAAATGTATAATAAATTCCTAAAAGTAATTTTAAGAGTTTGGGTTGAAATTACAACTGCAATACTCGAAAAACTTGATTTTTGTTTGAAATTTTTGAAATTTTATTAATTTTTTGTAGTTTTTTGCGTTTTTTCTTGATATTTATGAAGATATTTTGGTTTTTTGATGATAAATTTAAGTATTTTATACAAATACTATTGTTTTACTATATTTAAACATTTTTGGTGAAATATTTTGCAAAAAATTGATGAAACTCTTCGTTTTTTCAAAGAAAATCTATGATTTTTAGTTATGCAACCCAAAATACGTTTGTATATTTAATATTTTTAGACATATTCATGTATTTGTTAAGGAAGCTTAAGTATTTTATTAACATATTATCTCTTTACAATTTTCAAACATTATTTCTGTAATATTTTACGAAAAAACGAACGAATTTCTTTGATTATTCAATTTTTTTTCAAATTTTACTTATGCAACCCAAAATACTGAACCTAAAAGATGTTTCCCTTAACCATATGTTGTTCAACAGGGCCCCTAAATTTTTAATTGCTTAATGTCCGAATTATTCGTAGCGTTTTGCGTGATCTGATCTCGTTATCATCTCGAGATCTAGTGTGACGTCACATATTAGTTGTATTATGTGTGCCTCCCTGTTACTTTTTTATTAGCCTCCGGTAGCATGTGGCGTGATGTTGGCGTGCGGGGCCATTTGCTGCTTTAATTTTATTAGCACCCCTATGTGCCTTGCACTTTCGAATTATGCCCATACTCGTCCCGTCGTGCACGTAACTTTCATTTGTAATAATACCCAATGATCTCAACCTCCTCCTCAACCAACTGTTTCGTATGCGTATAAATTATTCCCCCGGCAAAAAAAAAAACCTGCGCTTTTTTATGATTACACGAATTAAAATCTTGTTTCTGAAAGTTGGGAAAAACTTTTGACATTCGAAAGTTTTAATGCTCAATTTCACGCCGCCGCAAAATCAAGGGCTCATAATTTCCGCCATTTCCGGGCCTTCCGGGTTCTTATCTTGGTGTGTTTTGCTTGTTTCCTTGTGCGTAATGTATAAACGAGGGGCGGCGCTATACAAAATTGTGCGAACCGCAAGGTTTAGTTGCCGAGGCTCCAAGTTATTACCGCGCGCTTACGCCTTGTCTAATTAGTAAATAATTCACTGGTAAGCCACGCCGGCAATTAATAACACGCCTCAGCCGCTAAGACGCTTTCACACCCGGAAAGGGTTAGGCAACCCAACACTCAACACACTAAGATACCTCTCTAAACATCAACGCTAATGCCCTTCTCCGGGCACAACACCACGGATCTATTAGTATCACCGCGTGATTTATTGCATCAGAATGATATAAAAATTAATCTTGTTGATACGCAACGATTTGTTACAGTTGTGTATTAAGTGGCGCACGTAGCAGTCATCTGAATATTTTTCTTTTGTAAACAGTTAATCAGTGACAGGCGTAAGGAAAAAGCTTGGCGCGCGTATTCGGAACGTCACCGAATCAATTAACGTCTCTCTAGTACCCACTCCCGCGTCCCAAGTGTTTCTTATAATTAGACTTTTAGCAATTAAGCGCGAGTGGCAAGAAAAAAGCGAGTCCATTTTTAAAATTAGCACTGATGCCCTCCGCTTCTGGCATTTCTCGAAGGGTAATTTTGATTGTGTCTCCGTGGAAGCAGCGAGAGAAAAAAAAACGGAATGTGTACGTGTATCCACTGAAGTCGCGTCGTTTTTTTTTGGCTTCCGCCATTTTCTTGCGCGCACCGGTCCCAATTTGCACGGTCTAATCTTCTCCCCCAAGTCACCCTTAACATTTGACCATTTTATTTTATTCTGCGTCTAACTTTCTGGGTCGGAAATGAAATAGAAATGGATTTTTTTTTTTCGTTTTGGTTGGAAAAAAATATTTTGAGGTTAAATATTGCACGTGTGTTAATGACACGTGGTTGTAGAGAAGAGGGTTGAGGGGTTGGTAGTGTCGAGTTACAAATGGGATCAAAAATATCTTTCTAACTGCAATATTTTGCATAAAATTGATGAGTTTTTTGTTTTTTTTTTCAAAAAATTGACGAATTTTCGCGTTTTTGCCAAGAAATTTTGTGATTTTAGTTATGCAACCCAAAATACTTTTGTAAATTTAATATTTTAAGAAATATTCAAGTTTTCCTCTGAAGAAACCTAAGTATTTTATTAAAATACTATTTTTAAACATTATGTAATATTTTCAATTTTACTCTAAAAAAAATATTTTGAGGTTAAATATTGCACGTGTGTTAATGACACGTGGTTGTAGGGAAGATGGTTGAAGGGTTGGTAGTGTAGGGTTACAAATGGGATCAAAAATATCTTTTGACGCAATATTTTGCAAAAAAATTATGAATTTTTGCGTTTTTCCAAAGAAATTCTATGATTTTGGTTATGCAACCCAAAATACTTTTGTACATTTAATATTTTAAGCAATATTCAAGTTTTTCTTTAAAAAATTCTAAGTATTTTATTAAAATACTATTTTTAAACATTATTTCGGTAATATTTTCAATTTTATTCTAAAAAAAATTATTTTGAGGTTAAATATTACATGTACATTAATGACACGTGGCCTCAACTCCGAGGGTTGTACGACTGGTGGTGTCGGGTTACAGATGGGATCAAAAATATCCTCCCCCTCTTATCTAACGCGAAATGAATGGGATTACCAAAGCCAATAATGATAATTATATTAGTATTGAATTGTAATCTCTGCCCTTCTCCGAAAGTATTCTCACGCGCATGGTCCAACCACCCACACAACCCAATGTGATGCACTCAGTGTCACACGAGTATTGCGTTCGGTCCATTAAGGCGTGCGCACGTTCGACTTCAATTCATATCGTTTCGAAATTATCAATTACTTCATCCCTGATTTACGACCTTCCCCGCGCGCGCGCGAGGAATGCAAGGACCATAAATTAACGGGTTTAATTAAAGTTTCAGTTAACGATGACACTGCGCCGGCAATTGAATGAATTATTAGTGATATTTTGATCGGCACGAACCTGTGTGGATGTACGTGTGCTTCTTCATGTCGGATTTCTGGTGAAAGCGTTTGCCGCAAAACTGACAAGGGTAGGGTCTTGTGTCCGAGTGTATCAGCAGATGCGTTGATAGCGTCGAGGACCTCTTGAACGACTTCCCACATTGTTTACACTCGAAAACTTTCTCTACGTTGTGTACAGCTCTGTGGACAACAAAAAATTTATTTAAAAAAAAATTTAAGGTTATGTTGAAAAAAAGTGAGGTTATACCTGTGTTGACTTAGGCTAATCTCATGCCCAAAGGTTTTATTGCACAGCTCGCAGGCAAAGGGGCGTTTGCCATTGTGGGACCTACGCGCATGCACCTCTAACCCATGCGGAGTTGAGAACATCTTCTCGCACTTGATGCACGAATAAACGTCCCCCAACGGCATCATACCGGGCCGCATTAACAGGTGATGGTGGTGCGGATGCACACCGCTCGCGTTATTCATTATGTGATGCCGCAGCCGGAATAATTCATCGGATTGTGGCGATGTGGGATAGGGCGTCGATTGTGTTGGTTGTTGTCCGGAACCTGCACCACTACCACCACTGGCCATCGCTGCCGCCACCGCGCTGAAGTACAACGATGTGGGTGTGGGCAGGAATCGGTCGTCGCCGTCCTTGGGCGGGTAGAATGTCGGCGGGAGTAAACCCGGATGTACAAAGTTCCGTGGCAGGAAGTTGTTGTACTCCTGCGGCGATTTGATTTGTGCGTCGCGGATCAACTCGGCGAAAGGTGGATAAAGGTACGAACGGGTCACCGATATAGTTTCCTGGTAGAGTTGATCAGCTGCTTTGCTCTTTGGATTGTCAGGTCGCAGTAATGCACTCACAGAAAAGGCTTCGGATTTTTTCAGTGGGGAAGTGGGTTTCGAAGGTGGGCTGATGTCTGTGATGGAAGGTGGACGTGGGGAGGGTGATGGAGGTGGTGAATCCACTTCCAGTTCCGGTGAGGTACTAGGTGATGGTCTTGGGGAGACATTTAAATGCTCCCATCGTTTTGGGGACTGTCCTAATTCATCTCCTGAATTGGTCATGTCTTCACTGGCCTTGGAGACGTAGATCTTACTGATATCGTTGTTGTTGTTAGTTTGTACATCGTCTTCATCATCGGACTTGACCAGTCGACTTATACCGAATTTAATTCCATCTGGAACAAATAGTGTCTTGTTTTTTAACATTTCAGGGGTTGTAAAAAGGGGGTTGGAGGTTATTCAAAGCGCGTAACCAAATGTGCAATGAGCTGTATCGTGTCTCGTTGTTGCGACGTGTAAATTGAGTGAAATCTCTCGGGTACGCGCAATCCGGCCCCCTCAATTAACGCGACAATATATATATACCCCGTTCGGGGGCGCGCAACCCCGACCGCGAAGCGTTAGCGACAATTATTAAAACGTCCCTCGGCGACACGGGCTGTTAATGCGTATCAATTTATATCGCGCGTCAAATTGCAAACATTCATTTATTATCACATTGTGATTTCAATATTTAATATATTCTCTAACCTTAACTTTAAAAAAACATAACCTCAAAATTTTTAAGCTACCCAGTTGAATAGTATACATATAAAATAAAATTTTATTTAGACAAACGCTAAATGTGCATCCGGAGTCACAGTGAGTGAAACCAATGAGTTTCGGAAGAAGACTAGGGGTGAATTTGTACACACTTGAATAATTCATGACCTCGAGCACGACATCTGTTCCCCATGACTATATGAGCTACCAGCCCTATTGATGCGTCTATATTAGCACTTGTTGGCTTGCACTTTTGCCCATTTCCAGCCTCTGCATCAATTGATTCCTATGACTATGACTATATCAACATAACCTCAAAAATTTCACTTTTAAGGTTTAGGTCCCTAACCTTAAATTGTGTTGATTAAAGACAAAAAGGTCTTAAACTAGTGCATTTAGTGAAATGAAAGGATTGCCGCCCGGAGTAAGAACTAGTCCTAGGAAAATCCTTTGATCCCTGCTGTACACGTGTCGCATTATCATTTCCATTATGTAATTACCTGCCCCTTGCCTGTCGCCACCCCCACAATTGGGCAACCGTCACAACAAAATCTTATAATGACGGGTCTTTAAACTGCGCGATCCGAAAATTGCACCTTTTCTCCCCCTTTCCCTTTCTCTTGCCTAAATTCCTCTTTACCCTTATACTCTTATAGACGACATTAGCATATCATACAAAATGGCGGATGTAGAATTCTGTATTTTGACATTTACTATCCGCGGATATTTATAAACAAGTTTTCGTTTCGTGTGCTGTTTGTATTACTTCGTCGGTTTCTTTGTTGGCTGACCGCACAACCAACCCCTATTTAACCAATACTGTCATACACAAACAAAATAATAAAACAAGCGTCGAGGGAGCGTTCCAAGGCTGCAAACATGCAAATCCAAGCGGATTTCGAGCAAACACATTCCACATTCGACTTGTATTCCACGAATTGTTTATTCACCTCGACTGACCAGTTGGAAAATATTTTTATAAAATGTAAATCATGCGAGCGCATGCGAGTTAAATCAAAATTTACTCAAGATTGGACTCTGATTAAACTCGCCGGTCACGAACCGCCGCGTGGTTGTGGTTATGTTGTTCGCTCCATACGAATTGTGTGTGCAAACATTTCGTGCTTCGAGTCTAGCTATCAATGTTTGTTTGTTGCCTGCGTTATTATTTAACAAGTCTTCGCGTTGAGGGGTTGAACGTTTTTTCCTCGAACCCGAGCGCAATTGCCATGATCATATCTATCAACATCTATCAACATAACCTCAAAATTACTATTCAATTTGATGTAATGAGCACATTTTCAGGTTGGAATATAGTTGCGGCTAAATTTTATCAATGTCAATTGATAAACGATCAATATTTATTGTGGGATTAGTTGCGTATCGATGAAAATCGACGCCGGTGGAGTGAAAAAATCAAAGATTATATACCAGCACCGGTATACTCGTATATTTAAACATATGCCCACATTTGCACAACGCTTAAATCTGTTTTTCTGCGCGCTCGCGATGGGAGGAAAGTGTTGAAGACACACACATGGTAAACAATCAGACGTTGTTTAGATTAAATGTGATTTACAATCCGTGGAACGATTCATCATGTTGACATCGATATCAGAAATCCCTGCCTAAGCCCGTGAACCTTTTCATCGCGCGCCGCTATCAATACTTCTCTCGAACGTCTGGCGTGCGTAATCCATCTGTATACAGAGTGCGCGTTCATTTTTACCCATCACAACCATTTAATAACGGTGATAATATTCCTGCAATTATATATCGCCATAGAAAAAGTTGTATTTTATACACTAGTGCAAAAAATGCGCTTATTTTGATAATCCACGTGTGGAAAAATGTTGTTTCAGGAGAATTTCGTTAGAAAATCAATAAAATCTTAATTATCACTTGGGATTATTGTCTGAAATGCGTGCAATCACTGTCGGTGTCGTTTGAAGTGCGTCGGCGAAACGAAGTGCTTTTTGAAACTTAATCCTTCGACGTACTGATAAACTTTATTGCCGTGATTAATCGATCGGGCAATAAACCAAATACCATACATTTTTCTAAAGATATGACGTGTTTTAAGGTGTTTTTGGGATTAAGCGTCATTGATTTCTATTTTATCGGAATATTTCTGATAGTTTTAGGACGATTACGATTACCTAGGATTGCGTGTGTATGTTTGGTTATATGAACTTCCTGCGAAAGGAAGTTGAAAAGTGCCGGCACGTGCCGCACCCGCCCTTTTATAATTATGTTGTTTCCGATAGGGTCAACTAAAGTGGGTGATATTCATTTTAATAGTAATCAATAATGGGTAATTTCACTTACTGTTTTGTTCCGGGGTGGTTTCCCGGTTTGGGTGGTGGGTTAAAGGTGAGAGATATCTGGGTCCGGCTTGTAGGATTGGTGAACCCCATAAACTTCTGCAGTATGAGGCGAAACCTACTGCGGGGAACTGCAGAGGTGAAATTTGATCCAAACCTATTCCTGAAAATGGAAAAAAAAATGTTAGTTGAGGTTAGACTTGGAAATTTTTACAGTGCTGCCAATTCTAGGGATTTTTTTTATTTTTTGGAACCAGAATTTGAAAAAACGTGTTTTTGGAGGTTAATTTCATTCTTAGGGACTTTGTAAACAAAATTTTGGTGAAATTTGAACCAATAATATTCTTGGAATATGAAAATTTCTGATAATTGAGGTTATCTTCCGGCTAGTAATTTTTACAGTACTGCCAAGTTAGGGATTTTTCTTCAATTTTTAAAGACTAGAAGTTGAAAAAGTGTTTTTTGGAGGAATATTTCATATTTACGGACCTTAAGAACCTAATTATGGTAAAATTTGATCCAAATTTATTCGTAAAACATGAAAATTTCTGTTAATTGTGGTTATGTTGGCTTCCGGCCAGTAATTTTTGCAGTACTACCAACTTAGGGACTTTTCTTCAATTTATAGAAACCAGAATTTACAAATTTGATTTTAGAACGAATTTCTGGTGTTTTTTAGGGACAAAACAGTTGGCATCACTGCAATAATATCCCTATCATAGTCCGGATAGATGATCACCACTGGCCACTATGATCGGAAGCAACGAATTAATGCGAGCAATTGACGCGATTTCGTCTTGTTAGACCCGGCGTCGTTTGGGACAACGTAATGTCCGTTGAGGCGCCACTGATTGCCCGCGCCAGTCGTCGCCGGATTGCAATAAACAATCAACCGTTTCCTTTCGCCTGTGCGCCACTCCAACAACTTCCTCACCGAGACGCCACTGGTGTTTAACTGATTAAAAAACACTTACAACTATAGCAATAAAATAAAAAGGCGTTTCGAAAGGTTTAAAAAAGATTAACACCAAGAAGTCACACACACGCACACAAAACATGTGAGAAAATGTAGGAGTCGCGCGGAACGCATTGAATAATTAAATCGACATTAAGGTCAATTATCGAATGTGCCGTCTCTTTGTCCTAATAAAAAACCCTCCAGGAATCATTACGCACCGCCAAAGGACGATCCATTACGCGCACAATTTTTGGTATAATTATGAGTAATGACATTTCGTGCTTCATTTCAATTAGCGCGGTTTCTTACAGAATAACCCACAGCTTTCAACACAGTCATTCTGTTAACTTGCGCTAAAGCGTGAAACAGGTGGGCGACAAAACATTACGTGTACAATTCACAAAAAATATTCAAAACCACATACCGCAAGAAATACGATCTTAAACATTTGTGATTTCATAGTAAATGTAAATCTCATAATTCAACAATTTTTTCAATGAAATGTGAGCGATGTGAACAATGACGTTCGAACATGTGCGCAGCGACGGGACGAATCTTTCAACATTTTACATTTGCTCGACATCTATAGATGTAATTGTACTTGTTGTACGCACACACGGTATCATCTTACACATGCTGTGCGTAATCTATCTTAATGTGAGAAGGAAGCAACACAAAAACTATCACTACACATGCTCGGGGTGCGTTTTTTTCACTGTATCGCATCATAAATGTTTCTCCGAGTTGTTTTTTATTTAAATATTAATGACACTTAATAGGCCACAAGTGTAGAACATTTGTATCATCGCTTTGAATAATTAATAAAGCCGAAATCAATTTTTCCTAACCATTTAAACGTCTAAGACAAGATAATCTCTACTTTGATGCTGTGACAGTAAGCGGATTGCTGCCGAAATTATTTCCATGTTTAGATATTCACGAATTACACATACGCGTCGAGTGGATTACACGAAATAAAATTAATCCGTAAATTGCAAATTGTGCGCGAATGAAAAAGGGCAGCGCAACACAATAATTTGATTTGTATTCTATATTGAATTCTGTTTGATCTGTGCGGGCGTCGAGTGTTTGATTGCATTTTCCACGCTGGTAATTAACAAATTGAAATTGAAATTGACAAAAAAATGATTACCTTGTCTGTTCGGTGTGACGATGGTGAATGCGCTGCTTCCCGCCGGACTCGATGGTTCCGTATCATTGCTGGGACTTCGCGACTCACGCACCGCACCACTGCTAAAGTCTAACGGCATTAAATTGTGTCCCAACTCCATCGCCATTGTTATTAAACTAGATAATTATTTAACACAATGTTTATCAGTTAAAACACTTTTTTGTGAGTCATTTATTCGGACGCACTTTGATTGTGAAGTTGTGTTGAATTTTGGAGTTGTTGTTGGACAACCCTCTTGGATGAGCGGTGTTTGTGCTTCTGCAGACGCGTCCAGATGGAAACTATACGCGGCCTGCAGGACGAGAGGACTGCCGACGGTCGTATCCGAGTGCGCGCGTGATATCCACAGGAATGATATCGACTTACGCCGGCCCACCAGCCCAGGCGATTCTCGACCCTATGCAACGCGCGCGTTTGGTTGTGGGTGGGATATATTCCTGCTGGCGGCAAGCGGCCGGGGGACGCCTACTAGCGTGTACTTTCGTGTGATACTGAATTTAATGCGCACATATCTCGCCCGCAACTAGACGCACTAGTGATGATAATCGCAATCATTGCATGATTATCACTATAAATCATGTTAATAAATTTTTTTTACATCAAAATATTTAATTTTTTGTTTTTTGAGGTAAATTTTTGATTTTATTGAATAATTTAATTGAAATTTGTTTTAATTTTGTTGGTGGGGTTGAGAGTTTTGACTGTATTGTACTGGATTGGCTGTAACGATTTCCATCCCTCGCTGAGTGAGCTGGGGAATGTGTTCTCCGGCGGCAGGACGAGCAGACGCACGCCGGGGCATGAATCGACCGGGAGTCGACACTTGCCGCACACACCATTTGCGGGACGCACTCAATGAGGCGCGCACTTGTCGCGCAACGCCGAGGGTTTGCGAGCCGACGTCGTTTGTTTTCCCAAAACGCTTACAAAACGTTTAAAACTGCGAGCGAAGGCTCTACATGGCGCATTCCCTCAATTGTAGCAGTACACATGTAGGCACGTCATGGAATGACATGGATAAGGAAATGTTTTATGAAAATATTTTATTTTGGGATGAATATTGACTCAGATATTAAGATTTTAGTATTTTTATATTGGAATAATTATTAATTTCATATTTTTTATTTTTTCAAGCTTATATTGAAGTAATTTGCTGTTAATTCTTCAAAAATAGAAAAAAATTGAAGAAAAAATAATTTACGGGTAAAATAAGAGGAAATTTATTTGAAAATATTTTATTTAGGAAGTTTATAGTCTCAGATATTAAAATTTTACCTTTTTTCTTCAATATAATGATTAATTTCAATTTTTTCCAGTTTTTTCAATTTTTTTAGAAGTAATTTGCTATCAATACTTCAAAAATTCAGCAAAAAAAGTGTAAAAATTATAATTTTCATATAATTTATTGAAAAATATTTTATTTGGGAGGATACTAAGATAATAAGGTACTAAGATTTTAGTCTTTTTCTCTTAAAATAATAATTAATTTTAATTTTTCCAGTTTTTTTTTCTTTTTTTTTTCGAACTAATTTGCTATCTATTCCTGAAAAACAGCAAAAATGGGCAAAAATATTCATTTTCACATCATATAAGATTATATTTATTGAAAAATATTTTATTTAGGAGATTTATACCAACAGGTACTAAGATTTTAGTCTTTTTCTCCTAAAATAATTATTAATTTTGGTTTTTCAAATTTTTTTCAAATAATTTTCCTAAAAATCGAAGAAAAAAGCAAAAAAATACTAATTTACATAAAAGATGTAGATAAATCTTACGAGTTTTATTGCGAAATCCTTAGTCGAGACTTACAAAAGAAGAAAAAGATTTTTCTTTGCCGCTGGAGTGAAAATTCTTTGATCTGGCGTGCGCTGCAATTTGATGATTTTTGCTTGGCTCAACGCAGACACAGACAGACACCTTTTTGATTTTTGTATGCATAATCGCTGACGCTAGCAATTTGAATTATTTTTCTTTCCTTTTTATCCCCGCTTCAAGATTGAAATATCACAACGATTTCTTTCTGTTTCTTTTCTTCAACTCTCTGAATAATGAATGCGTAAATCATTTGTGGATATCAATAGGATTAAAGTAGAGTTTCGACGATTTCCGATCCAGTGATAATTAGCATTGTTTTCGTCTTTGCGCGTCTTGTGGAAGCGCGGATAATCCACAATTCCGCGCGTTCGCTCCCCTTTCGGCGTTGCGCGCTCGTGAATGTCGTGAATCAGCATTGTAATCCTGTGGGAAGCGACACCAGTTCAACGAGTTCCGCCCGCGCCGCCGCCGACTTCGCACTCGGTTTTTGCGCGAGGGGGTGTCGTTGCTCATAACTTCATCCGTGCGCTGGTGTTCTTTGTGCTGTCGGCATCCGTTGTCGGTCTAATTGTTGTCTTTAATCCCTATTATTGTCTTGCGGCGGTGGCAAAATAGCATCGCAAACGTCATCGCGCACACAATACGACCGCGGCGCGCATGTCGCCGGCAATGTATTTTTCTTCATAAACTGTCATAAACGTCATCATTAATAGTTGAATTTTCGTGCGTATTATACGCGCGAATTGTCTTTGATGTAGAGCAATAGGGATTAGGGTTATTGTACATATTTTACATACTTTAAAAATATACAATCCCAAAATATGGGATATTAAGTATCAAGTGCGCTAAGTGACACTTTAACCACGTTTAGCGGCTTGAGGCTTACGTATTTTTTTTACTTTCATTTAATTTCCACGTTTTGTTTTAGTATTTGGACTTTTTTTATTTTAAAACTACAATCCGTGACTAAAGCCCATGACTAAAGTACTTTACTCACGATTTTGACCACCCATGATTAAATTACCACTTTTCCTGCCCAGGAACCATGAAAAAAATGAAAAACTTTTAAAAATTTATTCAAATTACCTCATAAAATACAAAAAAATAATTTTCATACATTAATTGGGTTTCAAATGATTAGGAAAAGTAAACCCGAATTCCCTACCATGTTTAACAGTACACTCAATAATCAACTTAGCATTCTCGCAACCATCCGACCCATCGCCAATCTCCTTCTCGCACAAGTTGATCATCTGCTTCATTTTATCAACCTTGTCAGCATCGCCTTTCAATCCAGGCGTGAAGAATTCAATAGCGCCCTCTTTGTTCAGTTTGCCATTCTCCATAATCTTACCGGTGTTGAACAAGCACTGCAGCATGCATAATCCTTCCTTGGAAGCGGGCAGTTTGTGTGCTTTCAATGCCTCGATGTCTGCGTCCGTAGCGCCGACCTGCGTCTTACAATCGTTGACTATCAACATGGCGGCTTCCTTGAGTTTATCCCTGGATACGAATTGATCCGATGGTTTACAATATGCATTTTGCACGTAGAATAAATAAACCATAAGTGAAAATATAACTAAAATACGTATTTTGTTATTATAATTTGTTCAAACTTTAAAAAAATTAATAAAAAATACCGAATTTCATTTTTTTTTATTTTTGAAAATTTAGTGTTCTGGGTGAAGTATAATGATGAACTGGTGTAGAATTATTGCTGGTAGGTGTTTATATAGTCCAACTTCCGTTATGAAATAGTAATTTTTTGATTGCAATTTGTTGATAGGATTAATTGCAATTCCGGTGATTTTTTTAATCATATCTATTAGTATTGCGTGTTTTCCTGTTTTACAACACATAGAATTACGCAATTACTGGGTCATGACGTCCATAGCCCTTTCAAAAATTATTCTAAAAACAAGTAATTCTTAATTCCTTAAGGGTCGGTGTTGATCAATGATCAAAGCGTAATAAATCAATTAAATAGCGATTAATAATCACGAACAAATATGACGATGAATTGAGCGAGTCATCAATTTAACGACTCAATTTCCCCACATATTGCTTCTCAACGACACCGCCTGAATTTCTTTCCATACGTCGTTTTTTCGTTGTTGTTTGTTTTCGTATGGTGCACGCGAACCGCCGGACAAAAACCAATAATGCCGCTGGTTGCCATGTAAACTTTGCCAACTTGTATTTTATTAATGCTGGATAAAATATGATCATGCGGATTTAATTCGATTAAATGGCGGCTACGTTCAGCCATTTTCCGCGCGGTTAAGCAGATAAAGTACTAGGCAACCCAACTGACAGACAATAAATTAGCTTCTGCGAATATATGTTCTTCAAGAAGGCTATACTTTCTTCCGGGCAACACAAAACATTCATTTTTATCAATTAATTAATTTATTATTATAAACAAAACAATTAAAATAAAAAAATTAGGTTATAATGTGTAAAAAGTTACTTTTTACATTTTAAGGTTAAAAAAGTGAAGAAAACGTGTTTATTAATGACATCATTCGACTAGGTTTGCATGTTGCGAGTATTTTACGTGTTGCGATTGATAGATAACGCCAGCGACTGATGATGGTGATGGTCAGGCACCGGTCAGTCGAACGCAATATCTGTCGCTCAATTACGGAATCATTTAATTAACTTCGAACTGATTAAATCGTATTACACTCGGCGTATTCGCCGTCCGTCCGGCCGGGTCGGGTGGATATACTCGTACAATGTACGCGCTGGTAACATAATGCACTTTTCCGGCTCTCGCGGGAATCGAGTGCGCGCAAATACTGATAGCCTCACCTGTTCCCACCCATAACAACGCATTCTCCATTCAACCACTCCTACAATCAATGTGGAATAAATTTTAAAGCCGCCATTACACATCCGATATTTTTTTTATAACAATAGGTGCGGTTTTTATCATTATAAAAATATTTTTTTAAGAATAAAGTGAAAATCTGATTAATTATAAGATATTACACCTTAGGATAAAGTACTTTAGTCACGACTTTGGTCATCCGTGGTTAAATTGCAATTTTTCGTGTTTAGAAACTGTGAAAAAAGTGAAAAACAAATGCGCATGCGCAAACTCCATCTTGTGACTAAAGTACTTTAGTCACGGTTTTTGTTGTTTGTGGTTAAATTGCCATTTTTCGTGACTAAAAACCGTGAAAAAGTGAAAAAAAAAATATTTTCACACTTTTGTTGAATTACAAATGATTAGGAATAATAAAAAATATTTTTTTATATCAATAGGTACGGTGTTTATCATCATAAAAATATTTTTCAAGTGTAAAGTAAAAATCTTATTTTTTATCGGATACTGTAACTTAGAATAAAGTACTTTAGTCACGGCACTTGTTATTTGTGGTTAAATTGTCATTTTTCGTGTTTAGAAACCGTGAAAAAGCGAAAAACAAATGCGCATGCGCAAGTTTCTTCCTGGGACTAAAGTACTTTAGTCACGGCTTTTGTTGTTTGTGGTTAAATTGCCATTTTTCGTGTCTAAAAACCGTGAAAAAAGTGAAAAAAAAAATATTTTTACACTTTTGTTGGATTACAAATGATTAGGAATAGTAAAAAATATTTTTTTATATCAATTGGTGCGGTGTTTATCATCATAAAAATATTTTTCAAGTTTAAAACGTAAATCTGATTATTTACGAAAATATTTTCGCTGGTTTTGTTCTGTTTCAATGTCCAATTCGCTTGTAACTGTTGATTTAAGTAGTTTTCGTTTCCTGCTCGTTGAGCTTGTGAAAGCTCTACATTACACTGGCGAATAACTATAACACAGGGTTTGTATTTTATTTACTGAAGAAAATGTCTCTTAATTCGGACTGTGCACATCACCCACCACTATATCACCCCATAGCACCCCACAGCACGGAATGAAACATTGCTGAAGCTTTTAATTAACTATAAGAAGAGTGCTTCCACTCGTGTGTTTCTTGTGTGTCGGACATTCGGACTGCTTCTCTCCGTATTCAACTCAAATGTTTCCCGTGCGGGCAAAAAATTCAAACAAGATGTTCGCACGAAAAAAATATGATTGAACAACGTAATAAAGAAAATAAATTAGAGTCGCGATAATTTTGTTTGATATAAAACAGTCCTGCGTGGAAATATGGATGTGATGTGATGATAAATGAAGGAAACAAATCTTTTGGCACATTTCTGATTTTTGCAATAAACCTAGAGTTGGTTTTCTGTGGAGAGTGGAGAGTGAGCAGTGGAAGGAAGTCGATGGGAGACTAATCGAACGAAAACGCAATTTCGTCCGGGAGCTGGATTATGGTTGAACTTATACGTCGGTCGTATAAACGAGAGTAGTTCGTTAATGCGATGAGGCTTAAATTGCTTTAATCATAATGACTGTCAGTATAATCTTCAGATTGCTCGATTGCGCGTGTTTCGGACGACTCGGACCGCACAAAATGTTTACGCAAAGTTTCTACAGTGTATGACATAAATTAAAATTGAAAAGAAAAAGATTTGGACAAGAAATTGTTGCAAATGACTTCAAAAATGTAAAAATTTGTTTGAAATATTTTGTTTTGGACTTATCTAGCTCAAGATATTTAGATTTTAGTTCTTTTTTTCTTAAAATAATTTTTAATTTCAATTTTTTACATTTTTTACATTTTTTACAATTTTTTGGAAAATTTTTCATTTTTTAATTGATTAAAAATTGAAAAAAAAAGCACAAAATAATAATTCAATGTCAAATAAGTTCAAATTTATTACAAAATATTTTATTTTAGACTTATATAGTCGCAGGTATTAATATTTTAGTCTTTTTCCCTTAAAAAAAATCTTTAATTTTACTTAATTTCACTTTTTTTAATTTTTTTTTGAAATTTTGAGGTTAAAATTGCTTTAATCTGGCTGAGTTTTTACACCGCCGCATTTAAAACTCTGACATAAATTAAAATTGATTTTATATTTTTAGATTTGCCATTTGCACTTAAATTGAATCGGTTTCCTCTCTCTCCAAGCTTGGAAAAAAGTGAAAATTGTAGATATGCTCCGGGAGTCATTTGCAAATATAGAAATTGGATGCGCTGACGAAAAGAGGGGCGAGCGCGGAGTCATCGTATTGTCGATTTGGCGATCTTTTGCTTTTCATTTGCATTGCAAAGCGGGCGCCGCCGCCACCGCCGCCGCCGCAATTCGAACGCTCGACATTGCAATCGCGCCGCCCGCCACCGTATAAAACTTCGGGCCTGCCGGAAACGGCGCCCATGGGAGACCGGAATCGGTTTCCGGGTTTAGATTGAGTGAATTTTCCCTACCGTACATATATAGCTATACCTATATACATATATGCCGCCTCCGGTCATAGGTGCGCACACCGTATCCATACTCTCGATGCGTGTTTCTGCTTTGTTTAATTCCATTCGAAATTTTCACTGGAATTCGACACGGAAATCTTTCTATCTTGTGTTTCTCACCAAATATTTTATTCAATTAATTTTAATTTCATTTGCGGAAACATCTGTTACGTAAATTGTAAGTGTTATAAAGGATTTAAGTCATATTATTCACTTTTTTAGTAATTTGTATGTTTGTTACACTTTCACGCAAAGATGGCTGAACCAATATTTATGAAATTTTCTAGAATTAAAGCTTAATTATTACAATAAGTGATAGGCTACTTTTTATCTCAAAAATTCACTTTAAGGGTGTAAAATTGGGGATGAAAGTTAATATGGTGATTTAATCGTATTTTTAGTTATGCAATTCACTCACAGATGGCGCTACCAAACAGTATAAACATTTCTAATATATTTTTTCTATTTTTATTAAAATATACCCTCCAAAGCAAAAAATAAAAATAAAATAAAAATTTCTAGCGTCCGAATGAACTTGCATCAGTGCGGGCTGTGTGCGCATCATTAATATTTCAATTAAAAGTCATAATCGTAAATGAATTTATTAATCCTTGTCACATGGACGTTTGTTGTGATACACCAACACCATGTAGGTATCAGCATGTCCATCACAATTGCCTTCAGCTGCCGTTAAATTTTATGCGGGAGCCATTTCTCTCATCAATTTTTTTTATATCATTTTTTGTACGTTTTTAATGCGCCGCATGATTAAATCTGATAGATCCTTCGACGAAGAAACAATAGGACGCACACGCAGTGTTTCATTCTGATTAAAAGCGGCATCAAAAAGTAGTTAACTAATTCAAGCCCGCCGAGTGTAAATGTCAATTAGGCGTAATGGTTTTATGCAATCTTTCAACCGCGAGCGAGATTCGCACGATCTGTGCTGTGGAAAAGTTCAACTCTTTAACGGAGTTTAACGCAACGAAATGACATCATCCAGATGTTTCTTTTCAGCGCTCGCTGGGCGTGCAATTAGCTTCAGCCGCGCTTCATGATTCATTCAATTGTTTTTGTTTACGTTGGAGGATCAATTCAGCTACAGGGTAATTAAAAATGATTGTTTATACTTGCGGACAAGATGTTGCTGTTGATTTGTAGGTTTGTGGACAGGCAGTGTGCGATAAATGATAACAAATTGATCGTGTGCATTGATTTGTCTGCTTGATCTGTTTTGATCGTTACTCATTTGCGTGCGGCGTTCAGTGCTTCGCAATTTGTTTTATGATGTACTTGGGATGCATGCTAATGTGCCAATAATTTGTTTTAAATGAATGACGCCGACGATTTGTATTCTCACGCTAATG